CGGTCAAATTCCTCGTGCCACTAGCCTCCCCTTCCGTCGGTTGTCACCATGCTCGCCATATCCTAGACCCTACCGCCGTAGTGCATCCCGTGGCGTGGCCGTGCCATTGCCGTGCTCCACTGCACTCATCACGCGCACGTGGCCGGCTTGGCCTGAGCCATCTTTGATCATTTCTTCACGTCTTCCAGTTCCGTGGTGAGTCGCTGGTACTCGTCCACTCCTTGTTTTGTCCTGGCAGTGCTGATGTTCACCGGAACGGCATCGCCGTCCTTGCTGGTTGCCCACCGTCGTGGTTCGAGCTCGCTGCGACGTCTCGGCGCGTGTGTCTCCGCCCTGTGGTTTGCGTTCGCACGTAGGTGATTATCGGCTCTTGATTTTAGTAAGGAGAGGGCCGGGGTGGCCGACGTAGACATCCAGTGCCGTGCCGTCGCGCCGGTGCGTGCTCTGGATGGTCAGGGACTTCATCGCGGGGAAGACATAGAAGTCGGAGGGTGCTGTTGTAAAAACGTAGACTGCTGAAATAGGGACCCAGAGCTTGTTGCGAATTCGTTGTAGAGCAGGGGTGTCTGTGCATAACCTCCATTGCGCGCGGGCCTCTCCCGTCGCGGGCTGTGGTCGGCTGGGCCGCGCGTACGCGCATGGGCCGCGCTGCTCGGGTGTGTGCGCCGTGCAGTCATGGGCCGAGGCCACGCGTTTTGGGCCGCGAGGCCAGTTTCGGTTTTCTCTATTTCAGTGTATTAGAAATTGTTTATCTATTTAGGTTATGAACTGAACTTCAATAATTAGTAGTAAATTTCATGTTTGTCCAAAAATAGCGAAACTAAGTTTGTTAGGTTCGCAAAAATGTCAAATCTACCGTTAGTACAGCTTAGTTCACCATTAATGTTAGGGATGGTAGGCTCATAAGCTTGAAGTAGAGAGATTAGCGAGTATATCGATCTTTAATTGCAGGATTTGTTGTGGTAAACCGGCGATAACTTTAGCTTTGAAATCATTACAGTAGTGTCCTTAGGCATTTATATACTTGCTGTAAAAATGGTACCCATAGAACGAGTCGTTAATGGCGTAGTATTATCCTTGCTTTGTCCTAAACCGGCATTAAGAGTATGAATATCCGTAGTCATCGTAAGAATGTAGGACACGTTCATACTTGTTAGTAGTACTGGTATGTAGCTTAGACTTTAGTAGGTAGACCTCACTTAGTAATGTAATAGAGGTACTTTTGCATTGAGAATTGCTGTTGCCATAGTGTAATCATTGCATCGTCATTTCATGTAGATCACGAACAGGTAGACTTCGTACCCGTCGGTGATCCGGAGTACGACGAGGTGATCGAGGAGTACGAGGAGGAGCTTTTCACATGGGAGGGAGCCCAGGAGCTGTTGGTAATCGACTTTCTTTGTCGACCTAAGACTGCCAAGGCAAGCCCCGGTGTATAACCCCTATTTTTAAATGATCACTGAATATATTTATATGATATGCATTTACGTTACAGGCATTTTATGGAAACTACATGCATAGATATATCCACCATGAGTCCTACTAGTGCAGGTCGAGTAGCTGCTATGCTCAGGGTGGCGGTAGCGTGAGTAACCTGACGTTACTCGCAAATAGGTGATTACACTATGATATCATGATGAAATAATGGAAAGGAAAAAATGGTGACCGGACAGGGATGTGGATTTGGTACTGGTGGGTGTGAGGGGTTGTGTCCTGCGGCCAACAGGGCATAGCCTGGTTACACTTTTTCCCTGTCTGTGTCGATTAAGGACCGGTCGTTGCATATGACTCTAGGCAAGTCACAGACTATTGTCCCGAGCACATACTTGGGTATGGGTGCAGGGAAGACTTGCTGCTCTCTTGTCGCGGATCCGGCTCTTTCCGGACCGACTGATGGGAAGAGGAGGTGGTGGAGGTCCTTGCGCCGCACTGAGTCCGGGATTCAGATGCGGGGGCTTGGAGTCCAAGTTTGGACGGGGACCTGGACACCCGGGACATGAGAGTGGTGGGTTAGTCCTGCTTGTGCCTGGGGTATAAGCGGGGCGTGTGTCTTCGGGGCACCCAGCTGGGTACATTGATTCGCGAATCGCCGGGTTATCCGGTACGGCTTGTCTGCGGTTTAGCATCGTAGTAAGAACTGGAAGTGGAAAAGGAGAAGGAACAATATCGATTGCTCAACTCTTGCTTGAAAGTAGCACATGTGCTTATATAGATTGACTAGATAAAAACTTAATACGGCTGATGATAATAATATATAAATAAGGACTCACTATTAGTACTGCTTTTGGCTAAAAGAGAACCAGCAACCATAAAGCCTAGCATATTCCTTGGAGTCGGGAAAGTATTCCCACTATCGGATAAGTCTTGCGAGTACATTGTGTACTCAGGGTTTATTTATCCCTGTTGCAGGTGACGCTTGAGGAGTTTCTTGTGTGGAGGATCCATCTGGTGGGCTCAGACGGAATCCTCGTTATCTTATCGCTAGATGTTATCTTTTAATATTCCGCTGTTTATCATTCCGAACTCTGTATTTGGTATTGTAATAATGTACTTTTCAGAAACTCTAATGTATGAGATGGACTTGTGTTGTAACTCGTTTTCATTATTGGATCCTTGGGGAAAAATGTGGATCTTTTGGGCTCTCCCTCGGGGTGTGTCCGACGGATACCGCTCGTGGTAGTGGCTTTCGGGGTGCTTAGTGTCTGGTGGAAGACGAGCGCCTCCGTAAGTACGCTATTCCGGGTGGTTCTGCCACAGAGGATGACAAGCGGTGCACCTAGGGCCTGCGGTGGCGCCCGCATCCGGGTAAGGATGACGACAGCATGGTCCGCCCTCGCGTGAGGGCCCTGGCGGCGCGGTTAGATGCGTGGGCACGGTGGCCTTCGGCAGCAACGCGACTAGACGCGCGGCCATGGCGGCCCTAGCGCCGACGCCGCCAGACCAGCCGTGGGGCTCCTCTCCCTCTCGTGCTCACTAGTAGCAGCCTCTTCCTCACCAGCGACAGCAGCTCTCTTCCTCTGGCCGACAGAGGCCCCTTCCCCACCAACGAGGGCTGCTGCAGGCTCAGAGCTGGGCTAGTATTTTCGGAGGCGGGCCTTATTGTGTGCCTGCCTCCGAAAAAGGACTTATAGAGGCGGACGCCTTAGGACGATCGCCTCCAAAAATAGACCAATCGCCTCCATAAATCCATTTTCGAAGGCGGGCATTTTCTAACCGCCTCCGTAAATAAAATGACCGCCTCTGTAAATCGATTTTGCAAGGCAGTTATTTTTTGGTGCCTCAGTAAATAAAACGACCGCCTCCGTTAATCATCTGGCATTTTATGAGGCGGTTAGATTTTGTGACCTCCTAAGTTAATGTTTGGGCAGTGTCTCGTAAAATCATTTTTGTAGTAGTGCAAGATCAGGGTAGGGGCATGTGCGGGAGCGGGCTCGGCGACAGCGGCATGCCTGGGACAAGGCTCCATTGCATAACTTATATAGAACAGCACCACCTCTAAGGGTAAATACATTTCCACTTGTGGCATAAATTTTATCAGCATTAGATATCCAGTTGGAGTCAGTATAGCCTTCAAACACCCTATGATACCCAGCATAGTGAATCCCCTTTTATTCTTCGGTTTTCCCTTAATAGGGTACAATATCATAAGGCATTGGAGCAGGTTTGCAGTCACTATACGAGTCATCTTCATGAGTGATAAAAGAGAGTTAGGATTAAGAATGGGCGTGCAATTGGGCCAGGTTTGTTCTTATGCCTTGGGTTTTCTAGTAGCGGGTGCATTAACAGGATTGCCTCTAAAATCCATTTTCTAATGTGGGCGTGGTTTTTGAGCGCTGAAATGATCTCTAGAGACGGTGTGATAAAATTGTCACCTATGAAGTTAGAAGTCATTATCAAGTGAAGTAGTTTTTTAGTAGTGTATCGTATTTCGCACAGTAAAAATAGTGAGATGGCACTTTTCTATTTAACACATTTTAAAACTATAACGTTTTCATATGAGCTCATAAGGAGAGATTATATTTATATGATTTTTGTAGATCTCAAGGCCATATATAATTTGAAAGTCGCCACCTTTTCATTTGAGGCTGACCATCCTGGTGCCATGTAATCAATGCTTTTTACCTGCAACTCTTTGCTATACTCGCTCAGACGAAAAGAACGGGCGCATGCCGCAGCAACCATTAGGGACGCGTGCTGACAGCGGTTTACCAGCGAATCAATAGTGTCTGTCTAGCCAACAACCATGTGTTTTATATAATTTCAACATATATTTTTTTACATCATATAATTAAGATCCAACAATCTCTATTCTCCTTCTACCTCCAGCCTTCTTTTACCTCCAAACAATCACAAATCACAAGATCACAGATCCACATATCACAATAAATAATTTTTTTTCTATGCAAGAACAAGAGAACAAATTGCATCCAGGTCTGATCGGAGCGAGGGGCCACGACCGCAGCAGACTCGACTGCAGCAGACGTGACGCAGCAGACTAACGGACCACGACGCGACCGCAGCAGACGCGACACATCAGACTGACGGACCACGGCTGCCCACAGTTGAAGAGAGAGAGAGAGTAGTTTTTTTTTGCTAAAACATATTAGTCGTATAGCATTTATGAGTCAATAATGTTGGTCGCAGTTGCGAGGAAGGAGGCGTACACCTCAATAGATCCGCCTGCTAGCTGTACGCGACCATAAAAAATTGTAGCCGTGTTGCCAGCCACGTGAATACACCCAAGTTCAGGGGCGGATCCAGGGCCCGGGCTGCAGCCCAGGGCGAGTCTACGTAGCCCCTTTAACATATGTGGTGTTTAGTCTAAAAAAATTATAATCTTAATTAGACAAAAAGAGGTCTAGAAAGCAAGATGAGACTGTTTTGAACGTGAATCAGCAGCTCAGCCCGGGGCGCAGCCCCGTTCTGGATCCGCCCCTGCCCAAGTTGCTCCCCCCAAGTTGCTCCAGCTGCTCCAATCTGAATACGAGCTGCAGAAGAACATGAAGAGGAAGGTGGAGTTCGTCACTCGGGAGCTGGAGAGCATCCAGGCCGCCCTCCACAAGGTGGCGGCAGTGCCGTGGGATCAGCTCGATGAGCAGGTCAAGGTATGGGCTCGCCAAGTTAGGGATGCATCTTATGACATGGAGGATGTCCTCGACACCTTCCTCGTGCGTGTCGAGGGTGGGGAGCCTGTAAACCGCAGCAGGCTCAAACGTGCAGTGAAGAAGATGGGTGGCCTGCTTGGCAAGTTCAAGGCTCGTCGCGACATCACTGGTGCCATTGATGGCATCGAGAAGCAGCTTCAGGAGGTCGCCGACAGGCGTGCCAGGTACAAAATTGATGATATTGTGGCCAATCCTGCACCTGCAACAACTGTTGATCCTCGCCTTTCAGCTTATTACACAAAAGCATCTCAGCTCGTTGGCATCGATGAGCCAAGGGATAAACTCATTGAGATGCTGTCCATACGTGAGGGTGACAGGTCCAGCAATGAGATGAAAATTATCTCTATTGTTGGGTTTGGAGGATTGGGCAAGACCACTCTTGCCAAGGCAGTATATGACAAGGTTTATCATCAATTTGATTGTGGTGCTTTTGTTCCAGTGGGCCGTAATCCTGACCCAAAGAAAGTCCTGAGGGACATTCTAATTGATCTCATTGATGGTGAGGACGAGAAACCCTTCTCTGATCAGTATAATGGAAGGAACACCGTTCCTGATCTGATGCCACTGGATGAATGGCAGCTCATCATTAAACTTCGTAAATTCATCAAAGGAAAAAGGTACACATTACCTACCAAATGCTATTGAAAAATTTTTATACACTATAATTGATCAGTGCTTTTAGTCTGATACTTTAAGACTACTTAAAGAGGCATGCATCATTCGGGTCTCTATACATATTGCAGGTTATTTTACTGATTATCAGCTTTCGCATCTATCATGTGCCCAGCTACTTCAATGCCTTTCGATGATATAGGGGATAGACGATCTTTTGGATAATTATTAACTGTTATAAAAACGGTTTGTGTAGGCCCATTTTATTTTTATGGTGCTCCACTAAGGTCCTCCGGCTATACTGTATGTATCAATTTTCAGAAGGGGTAGAAACTGAATTTTCATAGGTCTGTCTCTACTGTATATATCGTGAGTTTAATAACCTGCTCTATTTTGGTTCTACTTAATAGTTTCTTAAAAATCGATTTTCTAAAGAGGGCCACCTAAGCCAATTGCCTTTCGAAGTCTATCTTAAGTGGTAGTCGCATCAGGTGGCCCACCTCTGAAAATCAAATTTGTTGTAGTAACCAATGTCAGTTTTTACAAGAAACTTGTGATGTTTCAAAGTAAGTCCAGAGCAATGAATTTACCGTCGAGCTAACAAATTTGCTATTAGGCCACTCCCTTCGTTTGTCAGTCAAACACTGTTTGATGAATAATTTCTGTTCTGATCAAGAGTAAAAATTTATCCAATAACCAACTGCATTATGCACAATAGAGTGATCTGTGAGGTACATACCCGCCCCCTCTACAACTATTTGTCTATAATTACAAGACTGAAGAAGGCACATGAGGCTATCCCTTCAAAATTTCCTTGTTTTTCCACACACGACATAATGGAGTGGAGGGGATTCCAACATAAGTTTGTCATCCTCCTCTTCATCTAGCACAGTGTGACTAAGGTTCTCAACCATCCTCCGCTTGCAACATCCAAGTAGTATTAGATTGCATCTTAAGAATAGGTTGAATATTATTGTATATGGACTCCTGGATAGATAAGTACTCCATGGTAATATTTGATATGAAATGTTCGATTTATGTATCCCTTAATTTGGTCAACCATATTAGTTGTGTTCGATATTAAATATTTGGATTCATCATTTGATCTCGGCTATCAACGATAGAGATATTTTTTTGTTGAGATTATAAAAGTTGTATTTGGGATTAACCAAGACTCTTGGATGACTATAACAATCAATGGTATAGATCATACCTTGTTTTATAAGTTATACTAGAATCATGTCCATGCGTTGCAACAACAAAAAATACCTTGATTACCAAGACTTCATTAGGTTTGTAGCTAAATTAAACTGGAAGAAAATAAAAAGTGAATTTATTATACCTCTACAAGTGCACGGATGGCAAGGTTCATGGTCTTTTTGCCAGAGGTCTGCTTTTAGTTCTTCTCCAGGAATTCATGCATAGAGTTGGAGTTCCATCTTGTGGCGTTGGCCTTCTATGCAGAGGAGGTATAACGTAGACGGATTGATGCTGGTTTGTCCGAGTAGGGGTTGAACTGCACCACCGGATGATATAAGCACACGGACAGGGATGCATGAGCTCTGGGGAGACAATGACGTGGATCGGGACTCCATATTGGATGCATGAGCATGGTAGAGGATGATGTTATGGTCTTTTTAGGTATAGAGATTTGGTATGACACCTATGAACCAATGCAAATTGCCGTAACATGTTCTGAAAATCAAACGGAGTAAATTTTTCTTTTTTCCGTTTAATGTGTTAATATCTGGGCCATCCTAGAAAAAGTCGTGACTTCTTTTTTAAGACATGTTATTCTTGATTTTGGTAGCATCTCAGGATCAAAGCATTCATTTAAAACATAATGCTTTGCCAATCAAGCAATGGTTTTTTACATACTTGTATATATTTTTAGTATAACATGCAGCAACACGGCGGGTGCCTTATGCAAATTGTCATATACTGGTAGCTATTAGGATACATGGTAGAATGTAAGAGGTGTGCTCAACCCTTGGGATAAATTATGGGAACACCATTCAGTTATTTTGCTTTTATTGATTCATGGCTCTTGCCCTTTCATGTACAGGTACTGCATCGTTATCGATGATATATGGGATGAAAAAACATGGGAAGTCATTAAAAATGCTTTCGTGGACAGTAATCCTAGAAGTAGAATAATTGCAACCACTCGCAATTCTAAAGTCTCTGAAGAAATTGGCAAAGTTTATAGAATGGAAAAGCTTCCAGAAAGCCAGTCAAGAAAACTATTATATACAAGAACATTTGGCGTAGAAGAAAAATGGCCAGGGAACAATGATGAATTGGCTGTGGTATCTCAAAAAATACTGCATAGATGTGATGGTGTACCACTAGCTATTGTTACAATAGGCAGTTTGTTGGCTGGGAAACAAATAGAGGAGTGGTCCAATGTGTATGACTCAGTTGGTTTTGGCCATGGAGATGACCAACAAGTTAACAATATGAAGAAGATATTATCTTTCAGCTACTACGATCTACCCTGTCATCTAAGGACATGCATGTTGTATCTAACTGTGTATCCAGAAGATTTTAGGATCAACAATGATGACTTAATTTACAGGTGGATAGCTGAAGGTCTAGTCCAGACAGAAGAAGGAAAAGAGCCTTTTAAGGTAGGAGAAAGCTACTTCCTTGAGCTCATAAATAGAGGCATGATCCAACCAGTGGAGCACTATGGTTTTTTATATGGTTGTCGTGTCCACGACATGGTACTTCATATGATTCGTAATCTGTCCAGGGATGAAAACTTTTTTGCTGTGCAGGATAGTAAGCAATGGTCACAAGGAAGTGATGTCCGTCGACTAGCCTTGCACCGGGCAGAACATATTGAAGTTAATGATAGAGACGTGCCAAAACTGAGATCATTTAATGCCATATGGTGCGTTACAGACAACATCCCCCCTGTTTCGAGATTTAAATTGCTGCGTGTGTTGTCTCTAGAGGGTTGTCGTCCTCTGGAAGGTCATCTTGATACAGAGTATCTGGGGAAGTTACTTCATCTGAGGTACCTTGCGCTATTGGATACACCTATCCGTGAGCTCTCTAAAAAAATAGGGCATCTTAAGTTTCTGCAGACACTGGTGTTTCCTGGAACTGGGGTAGAAGAACTACCGACGAGTATGAAGCAGCTTACAAAATTAATGTGCCTAATTGCTGATGACAAGACGAGAGTGCCGGATTGGATCTGCGAGCTGACGTCCTTAGCAGAGCTGTCGATGCGGGGTGCTGATGGAGAAAGGTGCTTAATCAAGGAGCTGGGCAAGCTAAGAAACCTTTTGCCTGCAAGGATGCTATCATGCAACCGAGTTTTGTCCTACATTGCAATAATCTCCGTGTACTGCAGTTACTCCCGTTGGTATTCTCAAAGCTGCCCAAGTGGATTAATCCTCAAGCTCTTCCCAAGCTCTGCAGGTTGAGTCTGAAATTGTCTATACTGTATCAGCAGGATGTGGAAATCCTTGGCAAGTTTCAGAACCTCTGTTTTCTCAGTCTACAGGTCTCTGGTTTCTCGTCAAAAATTAGCATTGCTGGTGGTGGAAGATTCCAGAATTTGAGGTACTTCGGAGTGGCCGGACTGTGCCCACTAGAATTTGTACGGGGAGCTGTGCCAAGGCTTGAAGACATATGGTTGTTCATCCCTGTGTGTAGAATATTTAACACTAGCTATGACCTCGGTCTCAAATTTGGATTGGGAAACATCTCTGCGCTCCAGGCAGTGGAAGCTGTATTGGACTGTGCCTGTTGCCTCCCTAGGGAGGTGGAGCAAGTGGAGGCTGAATTGAGGCACACAGTCAGCATCCACCCCAACCGTCCAACCCTTCAAATCACTAGAACACATGAAGACGGAATGGTGACCTCCTCAGATTCAGCGGTGGAACGACAAAAAAAGAGGGTCCGTACCAGTTCACTGTCTACTTATAACATTATTTGGTTTTTATCATTACTGTATACACCTACTTTTGCAGTCTGAAATGATCAACAGGCGCGCAGACTTGGGTCACAAATTGCTCATCTGAAGACTGCTCATAAAGCAATGATCCAGGAGGTGCTCGATGTTGTAACATGGCTTTGGCGGGTGGCGAAGGCCCCCGACAGCGGGGTGTCGCCAAGGCGTCTTCGACCGTCTTAGGGCGGAGACCCGGCGCTGACTAAAGGAGTTTTCCCGGCTATGCTCGAAGGGTGCCGAATCTCCTTCTCATCGCGGACTCCGCTTAGGCGGGCGTCTCCGGTATCACGAGCGGAGGCCGCCTTATCTCCAAACTAATCAAACAGACGATCTTGCCTAAGTGTGCGCAGGTACTCAAGCGCAGGCACTCGCGGTCCGCGCAAACGCGCCAGCATGAGCCCTGCCCGGCCGGGCGGAGACCTGCGGATGACGCCTCCGCCCGGACCGGCGGAGGTTTTCCAAGGCGACGGCGCGCCCCTGAAGGCAGAGGACAGCGGCGAGAACCGTGGCCCCCGCGCGGCCGGGCGGAGACCCGCGGGTAATGCCTCCGACCGTCCGGCGGAGACCCGCCGGGGCAGCGGCGCGCCCCTAGAGACGAAGGCCGACGCTAGGGACTCAGGCCTTTGGGCCGAAGACCGAGCCACAGTGGGCCGGTTGCTCATGGAAGCCCATCACTCAAAGACGGTATGGTAGGATTGCCCCGCGAACAAGAGGCTAGCGACGGAATATTCCAGGAATGTACTGTAGCAGTTGAGGGGCATTGTAATAAATTCTGTTATGTAGTAGTTGAGCCCTATAAATATGGGACACTTGTAACCGTGGAAGGGGGTTGGTGGATGAATTAATGAAACCCTAGCTTTCCGAGCCATTCCCTTACTCGACACTCTCCCCCTTGTCATTTCCTTCCCGAGCCTCCGCCCAAGGCCGACCGTCCGACAGGCGGAGGCCTTGGTCACCTCCACGTAGTTTGAAACCGCTAGTTTCAACATTGGCGCCCACCGTGGTTGGGCCAAGGCAAACCAACGATGGCAGGGAAAAGAAAGACCACCACCAGAGCAGCAGCGACCACGGGTCAGCGAGGAAGGCCTAGGCGCAACACTCATAGCGCCTACGCAACCTCGCCAGCGGAGGATGACACTAGAGCAGATGCCCAGGGTCAACCACCGGAACCCCAAGACCGAGAGATTCAAGATCCGGAGGCCCTACCAAATTCAGCCACGGCACCCGAGCAAGAACTGCAACAGCTGCAAGCACAGTTGCAAAGAGCGCAACAAGAGAGGGACAGAATGGCAGCAGCATTTGCAGCTAATCAGCAAGCTATTCAAGCATCAGCACAAGCAGCAGAAATAAGGCAGCAGTTAGCAGTCCTACATGCTGAGATGCTAAGTATGCAGCATGCAGTACCAGCAACAACCTCCGCAATCCCAGCCTCCGTAGCAACACCAACTGCAACCATGCTTCAAGGTTCTACGCCAGTGATCAGCCAGCCGACAATGCCATCTCAGGTGATGCGGAGGCCTATCGATCCTAAGTCACCACTATCTGAAGGCATACAACAGTCGCCATGGCCAATAGCGTACAAGCCAATCATACTACCCAAGTTCAACGAAAAGACTGACCCCATCAGTTCATCATGAGTTACGAGGCAGCAGTAGCCTCCGCCGGCGGAGACGACGCCGTCTTGGCAAAGTCATTTGTCATTGCAGCCGAAGGTGACGCACTGGCTTGGTATTCTATGCTCAAACCAAGTACAATCTATTCTTGGGAGAACCTCTAGGACAAGATATTGGCAAACTTCAAAGGCCTAACAGCACAGTCGCTGACTTCCACAGATCTATTTCAGTGTAAGCAAATGCAGGGAGAGACACTCCATGATTACTTCTGGAAATTCGTGCAACTAAAGGCGAAGGCACCAGATGTCCCAGACGAGATCGCCATCGAAGCAGCAATCAAAGGCCTCCGAATTGGGCCGTTCGCAGCACACTTAGCAAGAGAGAAACCAACCTCCATTCAGCAGTTGTATGACCAATTTGAGAAGTACTGCAGATCAGACAATGACCTGCGCAAGAGGCTAGAGGAGGAAGGTCAAAACAGACAACAAAACAGCAGCAAAAATCCCCAAAAAACCTATACGAACCAGAATGTATCAAATCAAAAGCCAGGCCAGGGGCAAGTGCTCAGTATCGAGGGTCAACCCCACCCCAAGCAACGGCAATAGACAGCGCCAACACGGCCGGAGACCCAGACAAGGAACCAAGATCAGCAAGGTTACCAAGGCAAAAACTGGAACAGAAACCAAAGCCAGAAACAACACAGGCCATATTGCGTTTTTCACGGCGAAAACGCAGGGCACAGCACCAAAGATTGTCCGGAGACAAAAGAAACACAAGAAAGGATAAAGAACAAGCAAACTGCCCAACCTCCGACACAACAGAGCTCAAGAGAGGTCAACACCACATACACAACTAGCCACCAGCAGTACTGCCCAATGTACCCAGCGCTAAATGCAACCCAAATACATCCCTCCACACTGGCCTCCGCCTATTACCCAAACTTCCTACCAGCATGGCGGTCATCACCTTCGCAGCAGCCTCCGGCGGGCAACTACAGGTCGGAGGCAAGCTTGACCTACATAAACCCAAAATCTCCCCATATAACCTACCTTGAAATAAACACACCGGAGCAAAACCGAATAAGGTTCGAGCCTTCGCAGCCACAGCACCACATGCAACAATTGCCTCCGCCACCACCGCACAACCAACCCCAAACACCAAAAAACGAGCCAAACCCAGAAAACCAAGTCAACCCTCATGGAGCACTGCCAACAATAGGCATGATATTGCCAATCGCCGGAGGATCATCAATGGAGTTTCAAACGAAAAAAAAGGAAAAAGGATCACCTCCACTTTGGTAAACAATGTAGCGGTCCAAGGCCCGTGCGAAAACACAGATTGGTCGAGTCCCAATCACCTTCACGAAGAAGATCTCCGACTAGAGAGCTACCCTCGAATGCAGACTTAATGGTGATCGGGACAAACATAGCAGCATGGGAGATAAGCGAGAATCTTGATCGACACTGGCGATTCGGCAGAGATATAATCTTCGCAAATACCTTCGACCAAATGAAGCTCAACAGAAATCAACTCTGACCCTCGAATCCCCCTTAATAGGATTCGGAGGCAAATGATACAAGCATTAGGAAAAATCTCACTCCTAGTGTCGATTCGGAACCCAAGCGAATGCGAACCGAGTACATAACGTTCGGACGTCGTCGATCTGTATTATCCATACAATGCCATCTTGGGCAAGAGGATTCACAACCAAATTCAACATGACCACGCATATGGCCTACTGTGCATGAAAATACCAGCACTCCACGGTATTATCACGGCCCGAGGCGACTAGAAAGAAGCAAGAAACATAGAGAAAGCTATCTCTGAGCCCAAAGAAACATCAATGCAATGAAGTCGGCGAACAAAGAACTCTGACCTCCAGACATGCCCAAAGGAGAAAGCAGATATGGCGGTCGGGGAAGAGACAAAGCTGATCCCTCTAGAAAAAGAGTTACCAGACAGAAAAGTGACAATCAGCTCAAAATTGTGCAAGGCAGAAGAGGAAGAGCTCATGGCAACCCTAGTCAAAAACAAGGACATATTCGCCTGGTCAGCCTCCGACCTCCAGGGAGTCAGCAGGGACATCATACAGCACGAACTGGACATCAACGAAAACATGAGACCAAGAAAGCAGAAACAGAGAAAAATGTCGGAGGACAGAATCCTAGCAGCAAAGGTGGAGGTGCAAAGACTGCTAGATGCAAAAGTGATCAGAGAAGTCAAGTATTCAGAATGGCTTGCAAACGTAGTCTTGGTACCAAAGAAAAATGGCAAAATGAGAATGTGCATAAAAGGGAAGATGCTCGGTTATATCATAAGCAACGAAGGCATCAAAGCGAACCCGGACAAAACCAGAGCAATAATGGCAATGGCAGAGCCCAAAAACAAGAAGGAAGTGCAAAAGCTAACGGGAAGAATAGCTGCGCTCAACAGATTCATCTCAAAATCAGCAGAACGCAGCCTACCCTTCTTCCAAGCCCTGAGGAGCGGAGACAACTTCGAATGGGGGTCCAAGTAGTCGGAGGCATTTCACAACTTGAAAGAGTATCTGGCAAACTCATTGATGGTCTCCGTCCTAGAAGCGGACAGCCACCTATTGTTGTATGTGGCGGCCTCCGACCATGCAGTCAGCGCAGTCTTAGTCCACGAGCTGGAAAAAGAATCAGGCAAAACTCAAAAACCAGTTTATTTCATCTCAGAAGCATTGTTCGAAGCCAAACTAAACTATACAGAGGTAGAGAAAGTTGCCTACACAGTGCTGATGGCATCAAGAAAACTAAAGCATTACTTTCAAGCCCACGAAATCTCAGTTCCAACATCGCTGCCACTACAAGACTTGCTCAGAAACAAAGAAGCC